TGCAGCCGTCTGTAGTTGAGAGTATGCTGCTCAGGTAGGTGAGTAGGTGAAAGAGACAACTCCCTCTAGATCTCTTCCGTTGATGGTGGTTGGTGCTTGTTGTTGTCGCTAGTGGTGGTTAAACATCTTCCTCACCTCTGTCTTCTCTACTTTCACCTGAAGTCTAGTTCTCACTGCCTCTTCTGTCAACTTGTTAGTTTTCACCTGTAGATTTTTGAGCTTGTGTGATATCAGACATGTGTCATCATGAGGGAAATGCAAATCTTGTAGAGTCTTTCCATCAGTCCAGCCAGCTTTTCCCTCCCTTCTCATTCTTCACAGTTGTTTTTTGCATGATCCCGTCCAGTCTAGCCAACCACAGTCAGGAAGATGATCAGTGGTAACAGTAGGCGGCAACCTTTTCTTACTCCTATCTTCACTCTGAAGGCATCACTGAGCTTTCCATTGTGAGTCAGAGACCGATGTAATAATCAAAATTCACTCATCTTACTTTTATACATTAATTCTTCTTCAATATAACTAGTTTTATCATTAAAAGAGAGAGATTATCTCCTTTGTTATTTTATTATCTCTAAAATGAAGTGCTTACAGCTGAATATTCTGTTCTTACAATGAACGATGTCCTCAGTATTAAGAACAACATTTTGAAATTCTTCCACAAGTGGTACTGTAGCAAGATCCAGTTCTGACTTCATAGCTTATCATTTCTTGTCATTGATTTTAGTATCTCCTGAAGTCCACTGATAAACACTATTCCGTTTAGACTGTTACTTGTTCACTAATAAAACATACTACTGAACGACAATACAAATATTCAAAAATCACTCAAACTGATCTACAGATTTTGTAACCAAGCTTCTGTTGAGGGTCCAGAAGATGGTGTAACCAATAGAAGAGCTGAATTGTTCACACTAATTTAGCATAGCTAATCAGCTTCAATGGAAAATCAGTATCATCCAGTTACTTCCAAATTTAACTCTCGATGTTGATATTTCTCTCAGTTAGCTAGTTTTTTAAGTACACAACTGTAACATCAGTACAGTTTTTATCAAAAGCATACCCTTTGACACAAATTTCTCTATTTGTGTAAGCCTACTCGGCAGTTCAATTGTAATAGAAAAATAGGTGATAGGAAAAAAAAGATCATATTCATGACATCTCGTAGTCGGCTGCATAACAGTCAGTCCAAAAAGAACCCAATTATATCTTAGTGACCTTTCAACTGTCTACTTGAAAAATACTAGTTGGAAAACATTCCTTCATTCTTTTATATTGCAAGAATGGATGTTGTATACCTCTAATGATATTCCAACCTCAACCTTATTCTAGTTAATTTCTCAATTGTAGTTGAATAAGAGAAAGCATGTAACTTTCTTCCATTCTGAATTTTAAAGAAATGATAACAAGTCGACCGGACGAAACATTCACATGTAATCAACCGGAGATGAATAAATTGCGATAATGGAAAATAGTTGTAGCTCAGGTGAATGGTCTTGGTTGTATTGTGTTCTCTGAGCTGGGTTGTTTAATCGTGAAGCTTTCATCTTCCCTATTCACAACATCATCAGTACTAATTTCAGTATGAAGTGACCTGTCAGTATCTCTCCGTGAGTGATCTACTAGCTTGCCTTGATGAAATGGTCTGTGATTGGTTGTTCCCTTCAATTGTTGTGTCATTGTTTGACTGCATAGAGTTTCCTGTTGGCTGTTCCTCTGCTTCACTTCTGACCTTTCTGTCGTTTATCATTTTTCCTATTGGTTGATAGATGGGGTCTATGTCTATACATCTGTTGATTGCTGACTGATCTGAATGTTAAGCTTCTAGGACTTCTCTAATATTCTTTGTTCTTCCTATCTCCATTCAACATCTCTGAATTGCCAAACTTGAATTCATGTCCGTAGTTGTTATCCGCATGCACTGAGAGATGAGTGATGAAATGTTGTGTGTGACATTGAATGGCCAATTGGTGTTTTCATTTAGACGAAGGCGAAGAGGGCGACCACTCTCTCCAATGTAGTGTTGAATACACTTATTGCAGTTGATTTTGTAAATGATATTCGGTTTGTCTACTTTGGCTAATGTGGTCTTTGGTCTGCATAGTGGCGTGTGGATGGAATTAGTTGGTTTATGAGCCACATCAATTCCACTAAGTTGTCTCAGTAATCTTGTCGTGATCTCTGATACATCCTTTATGTATGGTAGGATGATGCGTTTATCGATTTCTGTCGACGACTTTGTAGTTGATGATGTACGGGATAGGCATCTTCCAATAAAGTTTCGTGGGTAGCCGTTCTTCTTGAGGGTGGACATCAGGTAATTTTCTTCGTTTCTTACAGCTCAGAGAACACAATACAACCAAGATGAATAACTCTGCAAGTGTGAAGGTCACTAAACTGACAGGTTTAAATTTAAACAAAAAGTTGATATCCTTCTCTGAAGGTTATTGTCATTTACTATGCCATTTCCAATAATAGATAAGGCAATATGAATTTTAGAAATCTTTAGTGAAAGGGAAAAACACTATCATGATTTGATTGTAGTTTAACAAAACGACTGACAGTAGACACCAAGTACTGGTCCATTATCACTGATTAATGATAACTGTTTTGTTTTTTGTTTGGCAGACTGAATAATTGAAGGCATAAACTTTAACGTGAAAACACATCAGATATTATGAAGCAAATTTTGTTGATTCTCCCTTCACTAACCATTTCCTAAGTTTTGAAAAACAATGAATAAGCTTCAGGTAATCTATGTGTATGTATTTATTTTAACGAAAATAGTACCCATCGGTGTTCTTCGCTACTTACACATCAAATCATCTCACCACATCTCATTTATAATCGGTTTAGTTAAACGCCTAAATGATAGGGCGAAAAAGCCTACTAGTAGACCAGAAAATCTACGAAAAGAAATCAGACACATCAAGAATACCTTCCGTCTCAATAACTACACACCTAAATTTATAAATAAATTCATAAGAAATCGAAAGACAAATATTAGCAGTAGTAATAGTAACACAGATGCGATTAATATTAATTCTACAACTATTAGCAATAATGTTGATAGGGTTGAGACAGAATTGAAAGCCTCTACTGTCTTACCATACAAAGGAGGCAGCTCAGAAGCATTATGAAGAATTCTCGATAACGCTGGCTGGGATTAAAGTGGCATTTAAATCAACAGACTCACTGAGATCCTATTGATGCAATTAAGCAAAGTAATCTGGTTTACCATAATCCCTTGTAGTGATCTCGAAGTCAAATATATAGTTCAGAGTAGTCGACTATGGTCGATTAGAAGAACAGAGCAAAGAAACTTAACTAAATCAAGATTAGTAGATCCTAACGAGATAAGGAATTTATAGAAGACAGCTCAGCTGTAGCTCTGAACACAATTACACATGATCAATCAGTAGGTTGAGATGAAGCGACGGTATTAAAAACTAACTCAGTTGGTTGGAGGGAGGGAGCTACTCATAACTGAATCAACACCAAATACATGCAGTAATATGAATGATTGTGTTGCATTTCTGTTACTTGGATACAAGCTAACAAAACCAGAAGGAAATGTGAAAAATATAATTTTTTTAAAATTTATCCTTTCTATAGAACTCGTGAGCTGAATATTGTGTATACTAGGTCACATATATACCACGATGCAACACATGAGTATTTAAGAAGTATCCAGATAACCGTAAGACAAAAGGAAATAGTGATTTGAATGAATCTTTTAGAGTGAAAACTTCCAAACAGTTCACTCAGATCTATTCATTCCTACCGGCTGTTGTCTTCACTTGTTACTCCTGTCTTTTCATTTCTATTATTCCAATGTAGGAGTTTGTGTAGATTCATTTATTGATTTCAGGTTGGAATTTGTTATGGATTGACATCAGTTCGAGGAGCATTGGGAACATGGGAGTATTGGAAAGCTGTTTCCTCCTAGTATGAGATTCTTCAGAAGTGCCCACTCATGACCTCACTCCTCCAACGAAATAACTTAGGATCTTCAGACTCCCTGGTCAGCACGTCACCATTAAGCCATCAGGCCAGAATCCAATGGTCAGTATTTCCTACTTCTGTCATTTCACGATATAGCGTGACCTCCATCAATTAATAAACCTCCACAAACCTCCATATAGAATTAATCTATCGCTCATCGGTGACTAGCTTCGAGAGATGATTCACGAAGTCCCAATGAGAAATCTCACAACCAGTGGAGTCAACCAAGTTGAACTTGAGGATAGTTACATAGTGACGATATTGGATAGAGGGTACGCTATATTGTGAAATGATAGAAGTATGAAATATGGATCATTGGATTCCTACCAAGTGACTAGCTCAATAATAACGTGCTGGTCATGGAACCTGAATGTCTTAGGTGGGGTCATGGTCACACACTTTTGAAGAGTCCCGTACTAACAGGGACGAAATACGCATCTAGTGCTCCCATATTTCCAATGCTCTTTCAACTGATGTCAATCCATGGTGAATTTCAATCTGAAATCAACTCTTATAACTTCCAGATTTGACCTGTTTCATTCAGTGAACATTATTCCTAGTATCAGTTATCACTTTGTTATTGACTGAAGCTGGTCAGTGGTCAGTCCTTTTTGATCTGGCTTTCGTATTTATTGGCATTAGTCTACAAGATGGAGTGTTTGACTTCGAGGAAACTCATGTCTTCAACTTACATTTGAACCTACATTATCCAATATTGTTGCAGTTAGTGACATTACAACTGAGCTACTTGGATTAGGATTGACCTCCTGTAGGTCTGAATAATTTACACTGATTGGTTATCGGAGAGCAGCCAATAACATTTTATCTGTATGCATCAATATAGGAGTAAAACTTGGTCACTGTAATACATTGTAATTCCATTTTAATCTGTTTAGTTTTCGTTCAGTTTTTAACTGTATAGATTCGGATATATTTTTATACGAATTATAAGTGTAACCCAAACTTCTTTTATATTTTTTTCACCATTTTCTAAATAGATAAAATTGATATCTGTTCAATTCATCGAGGATATTTATGTACTAATGGAAACTGTATCCCAGTTGGTCGTGATTTCTTCTGTGAATGTAATCCTGGTTTTACTTTATCTTATGATCGTCGAAGATGCATAAGTAAATATGAAACATTTTAAGATGATTTTACTTTTCTCTATTTCGATATTCTTAATAATGTTGCATGGATAATTACTGACTTTAAAAAACTATGTACAGCCAGTTTTCTTCGACTTTCCGTAATGTTTCAGTGCTGTAATGCATCTTGCCTCTTTAAACTATTTTTTCTATACAATATTTCTTATAGATCACAAAGTGGTTACTGTTATAGTTCCAAAACTAACCGATATGTGTACAATTAAGTCTACAAGGTCTCGTTATGTATCCTACCGAATAGAATAGTCAAGAACAGAATTCTCCTGTTGACTTCTTCTTCTTTTGTGAATTGCATTCCTTTAAACGGTTGGTTGATTAGCTTGAAAGCGCTCTGTATTTTATTCTCCTTGAGAATTATAAACTTCTCATTCACGTAACTAATCTAAATTTCTGGTGTGATGAGAGAAATAACTATTGATTCCAGCCTCTAGCACACTGTCTCTTTAGAAGAATTTCCGCTTTCTTCTTGGATAAATCTGGATTGATCCCAGTGAAGAATGCCATCCATTTAAAGCTGCTTATATTCAAATCTTTTATTTTATCTCAAAATGCAGTTGTTAGGCTGGCTGGATGTTCACTTTCATTGACAAAAGAATTGAGTTCTGGTTAGTATTCTTCCGACAGTTTGAATGATGTGACAGTTACTGAAACCCTTGAACACACTGAACTGGTGCGACGTCTTGGTAAGAGCATCCTGAACCCTCTTACAACCTGATTTAGCTTCCCCCAGAAAGGCACTCGTAGTACATGTCCAAGCCACCTCAGGCGACGAGGCGTCACAACTTCATCAATCGACTTGCTTATCTTGCCCAGTACCTTTAACCTGACCTCAATATTGTTCATACTGGATTCCACCAAACGCAGGCAATACTACAACAGGACAAAAAGGACTGCAGTGTAGTATAATCATCCTCAGATGGTTGGATATCTCACCATCCGGTGTCACAGGTGATGCAAGTTGGCAAATGCAAAACGGACTTTCTGTATCCGAACTGAGATTTCGTCAGCGACCAGCGTTTTCAGGCCGACGCAACTCCTCAAGTGGATGAAGTGATCGACACATTCCACCACTTAACTTCTTATTATTAAACTAGGAGTGGTTGCAGACCAGCCCCGGAGCACAATCTTACATTTCACAGGTGCAAACGTATGCTGAACGTACATAGATTTCTGCTGAACGTGTTCAGAAAACTGTGTCTGTCGTCAACATCTTCATCTAGGAAGACCATATCGTCTGCATGCTCGAAAACAAATAGATGCGCGTCAGGGGGTAGGTCAATCACTATGAAGTCAGGCGTACCTATGGTTATGTCTATTGGTACATCTGTGACGAAGTTGAATCGGAACTGTGACAACGGGTGTCCCTGGAGGACACACACGGCAAGTGTCAGCCGCCGGTAGATATACCTGTGCTCCAGAACCTGTTGTTGGGTATAAACATGATGGATACATCTTCATTCATGTTTGAAACCTGCCTGATTTTCTCGAGTTTGTTGTTCTCGAGCTCTAGTTAAGCATGGGATAACTATGAACTAGAGAATCTTGGATACAATATTAGTCAAACTAGTTCCCTTATGGTTGCCAGTCAACCAGTATGAGAACTTGCATTTCCAACCAGCCATTCCTTTAAAAGCTGTGATTTACTGTTATGCGCTCAGGCACCCACTGCAAACAGTCAAGATATTTTGCAGTTATTTTCATTGTTACTTTGCCTAATGATAGGCTAAGGATATTTGGAAAATGCACGAGAGTGTGTTTTGTAGTTTGTTAACATTTTGATGATTAAAACAACTGAAATCTTAGTGAAATATATTTTAATGGCGCAAAATTTAAGCAGACTACCGTAAGTAGCTGAAGACTAACTAAAGAAATAACTAACTGGATCCTTGATTTTTACCTATTGATACTTGTTAGTTCCTGTTGATATACTGGGACAAATTACCCGACCTCTGTTGGTAGGTAGGCTGTTATGCGGAGGCCTAGACACTGTATGATATACATTATGTTGTGGTGTGTTTGGTGAATGGTGGTGGAACCCATGACTCACATTTCTTACTACTTTGGACTCATCAGCATTTTCGAGTTGACCGCATAAGGGCCGATCTGTTAATAGAGGTCGAGTAATTCACCCTAGTATAGCAACACGAAGTTACAAATATCAAGCCAAAAACTCATGAGCTTAGCGTAAAAGGTGGCCTAACGTCTATCAGCTATGATCTCAGGCGGTACGAAACTCCTGTCGCAATCTTCATAACGGTACTACCTTGAACTATACTGAGTTCATATTAATAACCTCTAGGGTTTTTGAAAAATACAGTAGTGTTCAACCAATATTGTTCAATCACATTCAACAGTCAGTGCGAAGTGGTAAGACTTCCTTTCGAAATCTCTTAAGCACCTTCAAGATGTGAAATACCGTAGTCTATAACAATAAAACGGAACATTTATATACTCTTCCTTGACTATCCAACAGATTTTGGACCTTATCGTATCTTTGAAACTCGACAAGCAACCAACATATCTAAGCTAAATTTCTTAACAAATATTTTTTTATTTTGGCATTAATCCCCTACAGCTAAATGTGAAGAACTAGGACCAAATATATGTTCAAATGGTTATTGTATTGCCTTGTCAAACGGTGACTATGAGTGCCAATGTGATATCGGTTATCAGAGTACATCAGATCGTAAGAAATGTCAACCACAAATAGAAGAATGTAAGTCAATATTATACCTAAGAAGCTGACTATGTTCTTATCACAATGAAAAGTATGCCGTTGGGAACAGTAATTAAAATTACATGACAATAACTTATCTTCGTTATTTACAAATTGATACTAGGTGAAATAGGATGTGAATGTGATGAACTGGATCATGCAACAAACTGCGAGAAGAGGGAAGATAGGCATAGGCTGGCTGCACCAATGAAAAGATCCTACAAGATTTACATTTTGCCCATGATGATTTATGTCTGATATCTTGTTGTACAAACTCGAAAATCTACAGGTAAAAACTAACAAGTTGGCAGAAGAGGCATGGCAGCGAAAGAAAGATGGGGCTTCAGGTGAATGTAGGAAAGACGGAGGTGATGAAGATACCCAACCCAACCGAAATAACAACAACAAGCACCAGTCAACATCAGTGGGCGAAATCTAAAGGAAGCAGTTTTTTCACCTACCAACTAGGCAGCGTGCTCTGAACTACAAGTGAATGCTGCACAGATAAGGATGTGAAAGCTACGATCGCAAAGACAGACAAGACAGGAGTTCATCAATCTGAAATCAGTGTAGAGATTTACTCCACTCCACTCCACTCGGCATAAAGCGTGAACAACATACGAATTCTCAACACTAATCTCAGTCAAGTAAGTCAGTGCTTCCATGTAATGGTTGAGAGGATCGGCTGCACGTTACGAAAAGCATTTCCAACAAACTGCACACATACATCATCAACAGCTACCACCTACGCTCACTCGATACTGACACTGAATATCAGATGGTCAGAATAATAAGAATTAGTAGGAAGGAACTGGTGAAAGTAGAGAAGACAGAGGTGAGGAAGATGTTTAACCACCACTAGCGACAACAACAAGCACCAACCACCATCAACGGAAGAGATCTAGAGGGAGTTGTCTCTTTCACCTACTCACCTACCTGAGCAGCATACTCTCAACTACAGACGGCTGCACACATAATGACGTCAAATCCACGATCTTAAAGACAGCAAGATAGGCCTTCATTAATCTGAAATCAAGTCAATATGGAGATCTACTCCACTCCACTCCACTCCACTCCACTCCACTCATCATAAAGCGTGAACAATATCCGAATTATCAACACTAATCTCAGTCAAGTAAGTCAGTGCTTCCATGTGACGGTTGAGAGACTTGCAGTGTGACGAAAGGCATTTCCAACAAACTGCACACATACATCATCAACAGTTGCCGCCACCTACGCTCACTCGATACTGACACTGAATATCAGATGTTCAGAATAATAAGAATAAACAAGAAGGAACTGATTGTGGCTGACTGGCTTGCTGGCTGGCTAGCTGGCAACGAACCAAGCAACAACCTATCGCTCAACGTGTGTGTAGAAGAAGAAAGTGGAGATGGATTATATTGGACATGCTCTGAGAAGATGGTTTTGGGACATCACACGTCAGGCCAGGCAAAGCCAGGCCGTTGAGTGGAACCCAAATGGGAAGTGACGAGTTGGTCGTCCGAGAGTGACACGGATGAGATGGTGTGAGGAAGAGATGAAAGCTTGTGGTCAATGGTGAAGCCAGGTTGAGAGGACTTGAGAGAAGAGAGTGAAATGGCAACATGCTACTGAAGTGGTGCGTACCACTACGGTCCCAAGAGACAAATAATAGTAATAAAATTGTCGTTCACGTGCTATAAGGGATTTAAAAAGTTTACGGGCTTGATAGGTTCCTATTAATGAGTGCCCAGCTGAACAAAAAGTCCCAGCAATGACAGTGTTAAGTCTCTGTCTAAAGATTACGCTACGAGTTTTATGTGCGTACGTTCAACTGGTGAAGATATCCCTCTTGGGAGAAGATTAGGTCTCACTGTTCTCACCATTTTCCAGTGACTAATAAATTCTGACGGATAGTTATCTTTCATTTATGTTTTAGCTAAAATTCTTGTCTTATTTTCAAAACAAACAATGTGAGCGAAGAAATATTTCTTTTACTAAATGTCTAAATGGGAATTTTCGCCTTATTTTCAAAAGTATCGTCCGTACATTTTCGTTTCATTCGCATGAATAAGCGCCTGATTAACTGTCGTTTTTACTGTGATAGATAGAAACTAAGATGCTTCAAATAATGCTCAGTAAATAATAATTATATTTTCTTGTTAACTGACACGAAACGTAAGAATCTGTTTTTAAGAGGTAGATCACAGTAGAGCAGATATATTCCCTCTAAATCTCTCTTCATAATAGGCTGATGTTGTTGAATTAGTATACTTTAGCTAAATAATTGTTCAGTTTTGAAAAGACGGAAAAGATTTGTGGTTCACGATAAGGATGACGGTGGTTTGGTGTTCTCACAGCTTTGATATTTTGCAGTGAACGTTTCATCGGGAAACTTCATTTCTAGGCTAAATAAAAGATTTAAGGATAAGCATTGATGAAAGGATAATATGGTTTGACATGACCTCACTCTTCATTTCGCTGGACTGAAATTTAGCTAAGGAGACGAAAGATATTCTTCTGAAGAATAACCAAACCTTTTCTGACTATATGAAGATAATGGTTCCAAACTTATTGGAGTTAATAGAGTTATTTCTCACAACCTACCTAAAATTCAACCGGAAGATTTACAAGTAAACACAAGGGACACCCACGGGATCGTCAATATCAGGATTGATTTCTGAAGCCGTGATGAAGCGACTAGAATCAATAGTCATCCCACTCAGCAAGCCAAAAATTTGAAATCGGTACGATGACAACACATTCTTAATTCTCAAGGACACGTTCAGACTAATCAACCGAACACTTCTAGTAATTCAATTCATAAAAGCGGAGGAATCTAATGATAAAGTTCCATTCTTAAATGTTCTCACCAGCAGACGGAACTTTACAAACTCAAGTGTACAGGAAAACTACACACACAAATCAAATATTGAATTACAACAGCAATCATCCTACAGTCCATGAAAAAATGTTGTTTACAGACATTATTCTCAAGAGGTAAAACACATTGCAACACGGAAAGCCAAGAAAATAAAACCTATACCCACCCAACTTCATCAAAAAGTATTTATCAGTAGGACAGAAGATAGGGCAATGGCTTCAAATTATTAGGTGCGTTACGCCACCCTACATCAAAGATATCTTAGAAGCAATCAACCGACTTCTTCACAAGGAGAGCATTTTGAGCAAACCAGCGGAGCCATTGCTAAAAGAAGACAGGACAAATATAATCTACAAAATCACTTGCGAACATTGTTTATGATGTTGGCCAGCCTAGCCATCAGATTGCTCAAAGAATTTATGAATACCAACTAGCAGTAAAGAGACATGACATAGCCTCCTTGATTTCAATGCATACAGACAATCACGATTACAGATTCAACTGGGAGAATGTGGAAATCCTCTAAAAAGGAAGGTTCAAAAGCTGCAAGAGAATTTCTAGAAGCATGGCATGGATATAGACTCAATCTAAGTAGTAAGAAAACAGTCATCCATCAACCAAGGGCAAATTGACCGGACAAACCAATAATGATGCCCAGTGTTATAACAATAAACAGCACAATCTCATTGTAACAAAGAATATCTGGTGACATGAAGGAAGGAAATTTAAGGTGAAATTCCTTCCCCCGATCCCCCACTTACAACCGGACAACATTCAAGGTCAATTAAAAACACCATCTAAACATTCACGCAGTGTTCGATTACACTTCACTTCTTTATGAAGTTAGTACTCGTAAAGATATTGTTAAGCCTAATGATGAAACGTTCATGATGAAAAATCCAAGCTCAGAGAACATCGAACAACCATCAATTTTAGATAATATACATGATAACTAAAAATTTTGTTTCAGATCACCTAATTGACACTCAGTCGCTATCTCTGACCTGTAACGGTATTTGGAGGGATAGCCCTGCATGAATTTTAGGGATGACTAGTGAACAGTAAGGTAATATTCATTCATCAGCTGACTGGAGAAACCTTTATGACTACTACCGAATGAGTGAAATTTGGTAGCAGCTTAAGTTTGACCTTGAAATATGGTATCCAACTACTGCCGAACAAGCTGAAAGCAGAAAAAGAGGCTGATTTTGATGAGCTATTACCTGTTATAAACAAAAAGATAGGAAAACATGGGCGGTAATTAGACAAACAAAGGTTATGGCTGGTTTATAAGCGTCAAAAATGATTCCCTGTGTCAGATATCATTAACTCACTTCCCAAAACTTCTTGCTTTCTGGTCGTTATCAACAGAAGGGCAAACCGAATCCTTAACAGGCTCAAGTTCCCTTTAAAAATCCAGTCTTCTTTCTTCTGAATATAATTTTTGTGTAATGAACAATTTTATACCGTGCTTGAAAACTTACATATCTACAAATTCCGCATATCACTTAGACTTTTAACTAAAATATTCCAATTTATTTTTAGAAGTAAGCAACTTCTATCTTTTAAAATCTTACATAACAACATTCCTTTCACAATGACCGAAATACTCGTCTCCTCAGATTATTTTCTTCATGCGGATTTTAACCTATTTAAAAAATAATCTCATTTGTTTTATTGTAAAGCTCGTTCAATGTTCAATGTACGTGTTCATTGTCATGCGTAATATGCAAAATGATAAATAACTCTTCAACAGTTATTTCGCTATGTTATCGAGAGTGTAATAACGATAATAATAATAATAATAATACTGTTACCACTATTAATACTAACACCAATACTATTTTCATTATTATTTAGTGAGTGACCTTTAAAAATAAACTAAATGTCATGACTAATCATAACTTTGTCATTGGAATGTTGAAAATATTTGGATACTGTTCAACTTAGTAGTCAAAATTCCATTCTTTGGAATGTTATTACACAAACTGCCTAGCCAATAGAAAACTATGCTAAACGCATATTTTTATAGTGGTCCTTTAGTTTTGCGTATATCAGTAGGATGTATGCTCAAAGTGATTTGGGTAAATTTATGAATAGGTGGAATTTATCGCATTGTCCTACACTAATCATGTTATTGGTATAAGATTCTCGGAGTTATGAAGCAAGAAGCCCTACTCGATATAGTATATTGGCCTAACGGTACTTACTGGCAAGGCATAACTGCAATCTTTAAGGGAACTGATGTTTTCTCGGTAATTTCAAACTGTTTCACCAAGTGTTAAAGTCAGTGACTACATTGCTGAACTATTCAGAACACAACTACCCCTCTGGATGACTGAATCGGTTGGAAGTAGCTAATCTATGTGACTGTCTAGTTTTAAGTCCCTATTACTCACTGCAGTGTATTAATGAAGTTAGCTGTGGAGACTAAGCTATGTGATGCAACTTTGTGGTACATTGTATAATGATGTTGGATATTACTAAGTTAGTGCTGGTGATATCAGCAAATCCGGTCAAGGACAAAATATTTTCATTAACCTTATCCTGAATTATGATTCTTTTACACCATTTCTAGCATAGTGTTGCATTTCTTATCCAGGGTTATTTTCCCGAATCCGGCTACTAGTAAAATTTTATTTCAATCTCAGTTTTAAACAAATCATTAGTTACTTGATACTTCTACTAAGATGTTTCTCCTTATCTCCCTCTTTTTGACAGCATTTCCTGATTCACAATTTACAAAGTCAAAGAGTTACTACAAAAATCAATACTATGAAACCTTTGAAAAACCAATGGAATTTATAAATCAACCTGAGAAAACTGTTGAATACTTGGAACCTGATGGTATATAATTGAATAATTTCTGCATAAAATTTATAATTAACTCTGATTCTTTTATAAGTAAAATACTTGCATGGATTAGTCACCAATGTCTAACCCATATGTCTGTGTAATCTTATTTAATAGACATGAATAAGGGTATTGAGCTATTCAGCATTCATCTATTACCAGAATACAATACGCTAGTCGACTGAATTCGATGGATGCTGAATACTAAGGAATGAACAGCGGCAACGGTTAAAAAATATTAACCTATCCATATACGTGGTCAATTTCTACACAGAGTCAGTTAAGTCCCTTAATTTATGCATGGCGATGTCTATGAAATCGACAACGAGTGACGTAGATCTATATCACTATGGGATTACCATTTCATTATCAGTTACGATAATGTAATAATCTCAATGAAATGCAGAGTATTTCAAGCATTCAAACCTGTAGGCGAAGATAATTCCCAACGGATCTTTAAACTTCTACTGATTAACTGTATGAGTAGTTTATATACACAAATCAGTATTTTCATAGGTTGTTAAATCCACCTTCAGATATATTTTTTTTTCCCATGAAATGCTGAAAATTAAACAAGAATATAAAAACGAAATAGTAACAAATCAATCAGTGGGAGAATTATCCCAAAGAAAGAAATTAGTTTACTAAGTGATAATATATTAAAAAATGATATAAAGTCATGATTAAGGTAGCCATGATATTTTCACCTTTCAAACACTGGATTATCTTGTGAGCTGAAAATCGCACAAATGTTTACAGTTTCAAGTATTTCTTTATTCCATTGTCTTATAACTCTTTGGAACAACTTGAAGAAATCAATTTAATTCCTTATAATTTTAGAAGTGATTTATAAATAAGATTTTCAGAAAACTTCTTTCAACACATTTTAACCATTAAAAGTTGAAAGCGGTGTAATTTTCTACTGAAACAATTAGAAGTGTTGAGAAGTGGTTGGATGCCGCTAAGAAACATAAGTTTTTAGTTGAGATTGTTAGAGAGGAAATGGAAGCCTTTACTTCACCTTCAATCGTATTATTACATTGAATTATTTTTGTTCTATGAAATATCCATCTAACCAGGTTGTTTTAATGACCAATCATATTAATAAAGATTCTCAAGCGTAAGTACCGCTTCATTTATGATGGTCTACAACATGAGAACATTTCTGGTTTTCCATTACAACAAGCATACAAAAACAAGTAGATGTAAAAATTTGTGAAATTGGAAACATGAAGAAATCTTTTATCATAAATTCATTTATACTAGGTGTTGACTGAAAGTTGAATGAAAATCTGGACAGCGGCTTGATTCGAATCAGCTAACAAAGAGGTTCCTGGCCCTGTGTTCTATCAACTGAGCTACGAGGTCCGACTGCTGACCAGATGTTCTTTACTTCACTTGAATCACCATGAGTTTTGCCCAACTACCATGTGAATTCGTAACGCGTAATTATCGTATAATTGCATTCGCACTGGCTGCCCAACAGGCAGGACTTGTCATCCCACTTCATATGTAACTGGATTCCGGAGGGGGAGTAACATACTGATTATCACTTTGAATATCAGAAATAGCCCTGCATGGTTTGGTGGACTAGTATTAACACTATGTTTGAATCCCATACAGTTCAAATTCTCATTTCAAATTCAATAGTTACCCAATCTCAGTTAGCCAGAATGAAGATAAATTGAATTGTTAACCTTAATAACTTTATTATTTGTCCCTTGAGTTCCTAGTGGAACACACCACTTCAGTAGCACATCTCCATTACACTCTCTTCTCTCCAATCTTTCCAACCTGGCTTCACAACTGCCCAAAAACTCGCATTTATTCCTCACATCATCTCAATATCACTCTCATCTCGATCGTCCAACTCACCGTTTCCTATATGGGTTCTACTCGAATACATGACCTCGCGTATGATGCCCAATCCAATCCATCTCGACTTCCTTCTGCATATTTTTTTTCACTGACAGATTCTTGCTCCGTTGGTTCGTTGACAGCCACAATGAGTTCCTTGTTGCTTATTCCTATTATTATTCTGGCCATCTGATCTTCAGTAAGGAGTCAGCGTAGGCAGCTAGCTGTTGATGAATATCTGTAGTTTGTTGGAAATACTTTTCGTAACACGCCGCCAACTCTCTCAACCATCACATAGAAACACTGACTTAATTGACTGGATTGGTGTTGAATATCCGGATGTTGTTCACGCTTATTGCAGGCTGAGTGCAGTGCAGAAGATCTCCACACCGATTGGTTTCAGGTTAATGAAGGCCTGTCTTGCTGTCTTTCCAATCATGGCTGCCTTGACGTCCTTGTCTGTGCCACCACCGCCTGTACTTGAAACGATGCTGCCTAGTTGGAGAGGTGGGTGAAACAGTCTACTTCCTTCAGATTTCTCTCTCCCGTTCATGGTGATTGGAGCTTGTTGGTGTTGTTGTTGTTGGTGGTGGTGGTGTTTGGGTATCTTCATCATCACCTCTGTCTTCTCCGTGTTCACCTGAAGGAAGTCCAGTCTTCGCTGACCTGTCTCGCCTCTTCTGTCAACTTGTTAGTTTTCGCCTATAGATCTGAGAGTTTGTGCCACAAGACATTAGACACAAGTCATCGTCAAAATCCAAATCTTCTAGAAAGATTAAAGTTGACAGTAGACAGCCTTGTCTTCATAGTGAACTAAAACCTTAATCATTATCTAGATTAGAGAGGTATATTATGTTATATCAGTAACTCAAATCCTGATCTGTAAGTGGATTATGTACGACAAATTACTATCAGGTAATCGGTTGTAGCATAAACGTTTAGAACAGAGACGTAACATTTTGATATTTTTTTTTATAAACTAATTATAAATTCCCAGTATAGATAAAATGAAGTCGTTCCTTGTCAAAGATCAAATCTTAGGCACTTCATCATGAACTCATCTTTGTGTTTCCATTCAGAATTGGCTCTAAAAAAAATAATATGAAAATTGGAAAACTTTATTGTTTTATAAGAATAAGAGAACAGTAGAATCATTATGAATTTATATATTTTTTCCAGTGTAAGGATTTGATAGTTAAGTACGGTTTGCTAAGCATGGCAATACAAATAACCTCAGTCGGGTGACCTGTCATCAAAATCGAAAAACCGAAACACCGATAACTAGTGAATAAGTTTGGATAAAAAGTTTCGTAACATGACGATGATATAATTGGAAACTGAATTGTAATCAGGCAGAGAATAGCAACAAGAATGAGTAGCAGATTGAAACATGGAGAGTTAGGGGTGGGGTAGAGGAGATTTTAGAGACTGAAAACTAAGACGATGGAAGGAGAAGTGGTTGAACAATCTTCTTTTGCTTACACAATTCAGATTTCTGCATATAGATGGCAAGAGCTTTGGGGATGCAGAAAATACAAAGACTTACAGCCTTTGTGAGGTTTCTTTTCCCTTCATCGATGACTTTGAACGAGGAGGTTCTCGAACTAAGGTGCCAATCGAGGTAATCATGCTAGGAGTACGATTGTGCCTAACATCTACAGTTTTTAAGTTTCGAAATAAAGTATATAAACAAACTGAAGGTGTTGCCATGGGATCACTAATATCCCCTATCGTCGCAGACAAATTTGTGGGTAGTTGGGAACAGATGCTTATTCAAACATTTGGTCCTTCTATAAAGATATGCTTCCGATATATAGATGCTACGTTTACACTACTGAAATCGGAAAACATCAATAGGTTCTTGGCACATATAAATTCACTAGTAAATCCAATCTAATTCACCTATGACTTAGAAAGTTATGAAGATGATCTAGCAATGTCGGACCACAAGATTAAACGGACAGGGGATGGAAGTGTAGAGACAAGTGTCTATGGCAGACCTTCCAATTCTAATCACTACTCAGACTTCAAATTACTTCATCCCATCTCATTTCGAGCAGGCTTAGTTAAATGTCTACCTAATAATGCAGTTAAGCTTACCAGTAGACTAGGAAGTCTACGACAAGAAATTAGAAACATCAAGAATACCTTGCGTCTCAATAATTGCCTACTAACATTTAACAATAACTTCATGAGAAATCAGAAGAGAAATATTAGCAGTAGTAGTAGTAGTAGTAGTAGTAGTAGTAGTAGTAGTAGTAGTAATAGTAGTAGTAGTGGGAATACATATGTCATTATGAATAATTCTACTATCAATAGTAATAATGGTGAAAGGGTTAAAAGAGGATTCATAGCATCTACTGTGTTACCAAAAAAAGAAAACACCTCAGAAGCATTACGAAGAATTCTCAATAAGGCTGGCTGGGATTAAATTGGCATTTGACAACGGAAAAGCACCTAGAAGACTTGGATTTCATCGATGACTCGTGTCTAATGTCTTGTGGCACAAACTCTCAGATCTATAGGCGAAAACTAACAAGTTGGTAGAAGGGGCGAGACAGGTCAGCGAAGACTGGACTTCCTTCAGGTGAACACAGAGAAGACAGAGGTGGTGATTAAGATACCCAAACAACAACAACAACAACAGCAACAACAAGCACTAATCACCATGAACGGAGAAACTTAAACGAAGTTGTCTCTTTCACCTACCTACCTACCTACCTACCTACCTACCTACCTACCTACCTACCTACCTACCTACCTACCTACCTACCTACCTACCTACCTACCTACCTACCTACCTACCTACCTACCTACCTACCTACCTACCTACCTACCTACCTACCTACCTACCTACCTACCTACCTACCTACCTACCTACCTACCTACCTACCTACCTACCTACCTACCTACCTACCTACCTACCTACCTACCTACCTACCTACCTACCTACCTACCTACCTACCTACCTACCTACCTACCTACCTACCTACCTACCTACCTACCTACCTACCTACCTACCTACCTACCTACCTACCTACCTACCTACCTACCTACCTTCCTACCTACCTACCTACCTACCTACCTACCTACCTAGGCAGCATCGTTTCAAGTACAGGCGGTGGTGGCACAGACAAGGACGTCAAGGCAGCCATGATTGGAAAGACAGCAAGACAGGCCTTCATTAACCTGAAACCAATTGGTGTGGGGATCTTCTGCACTGCACTCAGCCTGCAATAAGCGTGAACAACATCCGGATATTCAACACCAATCCAGTCAAGTAAGTCAGTGTTTCTATGTGATGGTTGAGAGAGTTGGCGGCGTGTTACGAAAAGTATTTCCAACAAACTACAGATATTCATCAACAGCTAGCTGCCTACGCTGACTCCTTACTGAAGATCAGATGGCCAGAATAATAATAGGAATAAGCAACAAGGAACTCATTGTGGCTGTCAACGAACCAACGGAGCAAGAATCTGTCAGTGAAAAAAAATATGCAGAAGGAAGTCGAGATGGATTGGATTGGGCATCACACGCGAGGTCATGTACTCGAGTGGAAGAACCCATATGGGAAACGGTGAGTTGGGCGATTGAGGTGAGAGTGATATTGAGATGATGTGAGGAATAAATGCTAGTTTTTGGGCAGTTGTGAAGCCAGGTTGGAAAGATTGGAGAGAAGAGAGTGTAATGGAGATGTGCTACTGAAGTGGTGTGTTCCACTAGAAACTCAAGTGACAAATAATAATAATTATTTCTTTATTCCTTCTTCTTTGAAACACACTATTTTCGACTTCATTATGGTTTTTTCCTTTTAATTTCTGTTTGTTTGCTGTCATGCAATCTTACCTTCGTGTATCTGTGATAGGTTCTACTTTGTTCATTCTGTTGGTCATTTTTTTTCGGTTATTCTCCGACTATTTTAACGGGTAGTGTCAATTTGCGAAAACTATTTTCAGTATACAGTATTGATCTTTAACTGACCCTAAAACTATTCTCAATGTTGCCAGTGTATACGGTCTTTTTCATCATCAAATTTTGATCTGTCTGTCTACCAACGAACATGAACAGAATCCAGTTACGTCTAATATCTAAAACTGCATTGCACCAATTAATTCTTTTCTAATGTGAATTATTTACAGTAAATAAACTTTAGAGGAAACTGCTTCTCCGTCTACAGCCTCCATTATGGGATGGCCATTTTATCAAGGGGTTAAATCATTTACCCCGCCAAAGAAAAATAAAGAGCATCATAGGTGTACATAATGAACTCTACATGCAACACAACTCAAGATGCGATCTCATTGTTGCTAAACCACATTTCAGTCGTTTTAATTGAAATCAGGTACTAGTTATCTTCCATCTTCAGTCAGTCTGCAATGTTAAGGGATTATCATCAACTAGCATTACTAGCAGCCATTCATCTTCCTAATTCCCAAGAAAATACTTAAATGGTCCCCTGTTCCCCACAAGGACTAACACTCTTCGGTTTGACCCCTCTCTGAGTTGTGAGCGTGCACTGCTGAGCAGTCAATTAACAAGACGAAATATGTGTCTAGTGCTTCTAGGATTTCAATAGTTCTCCAACTGGCATCAGTTCATGATAAATACTACCTTGATACGTAGGAGAAGTTTTTTTAGCTTTTAATCTGTATTAGTGAATTTCGATACCTGGAACAGGTACCAGTATGCAGTTACGAAGGAAAATGTAATGTACGCAAAACATGAGAAATTCATGCTAAGTGCTTAATTCCGGTTATCTACAAATATTTCATCTACTTCTCTCAGATATTCATAACTGAAAAAAAGATGATACAGTAGGTGAATTACTTTTACTGGAATATTTCCATTATATATTTCAGATCAAAGAAGTTATGGTTGGTGGCAGAGCGATAATTCAGTCAAAAAAGCTTTCAACAAACAACAGAAATCTTATGCACAGTGTGAGTTTTGCATTTTCAATAAACAGTGTTAATATTTCGGTAATTTAATTGGTTATGGCTAGCAAAAGAATCCAGAATGCTTGTTCCGTCCTTTTGAGGACTCGACAGCTGGATATACCTGTACCCCAGTGAGTAATGTTGTTCCTACTGAGACTTAATCCTCGTACGCATCACTTTAAATGCCAAAGCGTTATTCACTAGACCACTGAGGCACGATAGCCACCTCTTGTACAACAGGTATCAGTCATAACTTTTTGTGCATGTATTTGAAATTCTCCGTTGTTTTAATGGATCGAATTGTCCGACTTCTGTTGGCATATGGACTCCTATGCGAATGCCTTAATATTGCTTGAATATGTATTACGGTAAGTTACTTGGTTGTGGCTGGAAGAAGAATCTAGGATGTGCGTTTCGTTCTATCTGGAACTCGTTAATGTTTTATAAATAATGATACAAGCTGTCTCACTAGTGTATAACAACTATCGGCTTGTTTTGAATGTGCTTAGTGTTGGCTAGCAGTCAAATCAAGGATGTACGTTTCACTGAACTCACTCAGTAGCTTAGTCAATAAAATTCTGGTGTTGGAAACGATGAGTGCTGTATTCCACTCTCACTGGGATGCAAAGAAATCCGATAGATGTTAGATGGACGAAAGAAATAAGCAGGAAGCCTTGCTCAACGTAGATTTCCTTACTTGTTAACACTCATTAGTAAGGCTTATCTGCAACCTTCAGGGAACTGATGTCCCGTGCGAGATTTTTATTCACATAACTCAGTGCTATAGTCAACGATATCACCGCTGATCTACCGGATTCAAATGTTAACATCTTTTCAGCTGGTTAAATTGCAGGATATATGTTTTAAGTTTGATGTGAATCTGTTTTTCTGTCAATTTCAATCACCGTACAGAAATAGTCGTTGCAACAAACAGTTACTTCAAAATTAATTAAAGATGTTCTTATCTATAAAGGTGGACGATAATAAGTACATAGCTCATGGATTTATAATGAAAAGCTCAGTAATGCCTTCAAAGTGAAGACAGGAGTACGAAAAGGTTGCCGCCTACTATCATCACTAAACATCTGGCTGATTGTGGTCGACTGGACTGGACGGGATCACGTAAAAAACAACTGTGAAGAGTAAGAAGATGGGTATATGTTGTTTGACCAATTAAAAGATCTTAGAAGATTTGCATTTCGCCCGTGATGGTTTATATCCAGTGTCGCACAAACTCGAAGATCTACAGGCCAAAACAAACAGGCTGACGGAAGAGGCAAAGAAGAAAGACAGGACTTCCTTCGGGTGGACACAGAGAAGACAGAGGTGATGAACAGCGTCACCAACAAGCACCAATCACCATCAATGGAAGAAACCTAAAAGACGTTGCCTATTTCACCTACCTACCTACCTACCTACCTACCTACCTACCTACCTACCTACCTACCTACCTACCTACCTACCTACCTACCTACCTACCTACCTACCTACCTACCTACCTACCTACCTACCTACCTACCTACCTACCTACCTACCTACCTACCTACCTACCTACCTACCTACCTACCTACCTACCTACCTACCTACCTAGGCAGCATCGTTTCAAGTACAGGCGGTGGTGGCACAGATGAGGATGTCTAAGCCAGGATCGGAAAGACAACAAGACAGGCCTTCATTGACCTGAAATAATGAGTGTGGAGATCTTCTGCACTCAGCATAAAACGTGAACAAGATCTTCACTTTCAACACTAATTTAGTCAAGTAAGTCAGTGCTTCTATGTGATAGTTCAGAAACTTGGCGGCGTGTTACGAAAAGCATTTCCAACAAACTACACACACACATCATCAACACCTGCCACCTACGCTCACTCCATACTGAACATCAGATGACCAGAAAGAACACGGAACTCACTGTGGCTAGCTGGCAACGAACCAACCAACCAACAACCCATCGCCAAACGAATATGCAGGAAAAGAGAGTCGAGAAGGATTGGATTGGGCGTACACTGAGAAGATCATTCGGGGACATCACGCATCACGCCCTCAAGTGGAACCTGAATGGGAAACTACAAGTTAGGCGTCCAAGTTGAGAGTGATTTGTAGGAGATTGTGTGAGGAAGAAATGAAAGCTACTGGGTAGTGGTGGAGCCAGGTTGAAGAGACTGCAGAGAAGAGAGTGAAATGGTGACATGCTACTGAAGGCGTATGTTCCACTAGGGACGTAAAGGAAAAGTAATAAAAAAATAAAAACAATAAAGAAGGTAACAGAAGTTTAGTCTTCCCAGGCTTTTAATGATTTTACAACTGATCTCAGTTCCGAATGATTACTACCCTCAAATAACACTACCTTTGTAGTATATCATCTATATTTAAAGTATACTATTATACAAACTAGAGAATTCGCCTTAAGAATAAACTTTCCTTTATTTTTTTTCTCTAAGAACTATTTATTTGTTTGTATGCAGTTCAGTAGTATAAGAAAGTTGTAATATGTAAAGTTTTCATGTAGAGAGAAAAAATGAAACAAAATTCATTAAATAGGCAACTATGAGATAACAATTTAACATTTCCATAAAGGTCATCAAAAGGAAATATCAAAGTAGGAGATAGGAGGCAGTTGAAAAGTGATGTAACATGAGTCATAAATAAATTTTTCTCTTATTTCTCTCTGAAAATTATTTCTATAGAATAAAATCTCTATACTTATCTGTATATATCTTTAAAAAAATTCAAATTGGAAAATAAAGAATTTTTCAGATGAAAAATTATCAATTAATTTGGAATAGATTCTTATTTAGAGATATTTCTATATTGGGGAATGTTAAGTGATCAACGAGTCTATCTTGTAATCAATTCTCGGTGTCTAGACAGAAGACAAATTACACTCGTCTAATGGAATGTTTAATTAAACAGGCGAAAAGTTGAACAAAACCAACCAACTTCTTAAAAAGTTTAATTTTTTTTTTGGAAGGAAATATCAAACTCCTTTCCGACAGTTTCCCCTGTGTATTCTTATTATTATTTGTCCCTTGGGTTCCTAATGGAACATAGGACATCAGTAGCATGTCTCCAGTGACCTCTGTTCTCTGAAATCTTTTGAACCTGACTCCACGACAGCCCACAACCTCTCATTTCCTCCACACACCATCTCCTCCATGTCACCCTCGCCTCAAACGCCCAACTCGTCGCTTCCCATCTGGGTTCCACTCGAGTATCTGGCCAGGCACATGATGTCCTCAGTCGGCCTTCCCAGTGTATGCCCAATCCATCTCCACTTCCTTCCTTCGCATATTTGTTCAGCGATCAGTTCTTGGTTGGTTCGTTCCAAGAGTTACTTGTTGTCGATTCTTTCCGGCCACCTGATCTTCAATAACGAGCGTAGGTAGTTGCTGATGAATGTCTGTAGATTGTTAGAAATGCCTTTCGTAACGCGCCAAATCTCTCTGAACCATACAGGAGCACTGACTTGACATTGGTGTTGAAAATCCCCATCTTGTTCCACAAGCTGAGTGCAGAAGATCTCCACACTGGTTTCAGGCTAATGAATGCCTGTTTTGCTGTCTTTTCCGATCGTGGCTGCCTTGACGTCCTTGTCTGTGCCACCACCGCCTGTACTTGAAACGATGCTGCCTAGGTAGGTAGGTGAATGAAAGAGGCTGCTTCCTTTAAGTTTCTCCCGTTCATGGTGATTAGAGCTTGTTGTTGCTGTTGTTGTTGTTTGGGTATCTTCATCACCACCTCTGTCTTCTCTGTGTTCACCTGAAGGAAGTACAGTATTCGCTGACCTGTCTCGCCTCTTCTGTCAACTTGTTAGTTTTCACCTGTAGATCTGAGAGTTTGTGCCACAAGACATTAGACACGAGTCATCGATGAAATCCAAGTCTTCTAGGTGCCTTTCCGTGGTCCAGTCAGCCTATCCTCCTCTTCTCCCTCCTCACTGTTTAGCTGCATGATCAAGTCGATCACAATCAGGAAGGTAATGGGTGATAGATAGTGGGCAGCCTTGTTTCCCTCCTGTCTTCACTTCAGAGTTATCATCACTGAGCTTCCCATTGTGAGTTACTTGACATGTGGTGTCTTCATATAGTTGTTGAATGAGGTTGATGAAGATTTATGGTATTGCGTAGTGTTGAAGTAGCAGTTTCTAAATTACTTGTCGGTCGACGCAGTCGAACGCCGGCCTTTTGAAAGTGGATGAAGTTGAGATAGATTTTTGACTGTCGTTCTATGCTCTGTTGTATGATGATGCGTGGGGTATTGTTGCAATTTGATCTGCACATGATTTGTTCTTCCTGAATGCAGCCAGCCAACCAGCCAGCCAGTGTGTTTTGTTCGTAGTTTTGAATCCAGCGCATCTTTTAGTCTCTCCAGGATGACGCGGTTCCCCTGAGTATAGATGATTCCAACAATGTCAGTATATGTAAAAACGGAATATCATTTAACCTGAAGATGGAAATATAATCCTTCTAGTTTGTTGAGTAAAATGTTTGAATATTTTGCGTTGACTGGCTGAAATAAAAATGGTTAATCTGTTTATTGATACTGGTACTCGCCCGTAACCATACCGGATCTAACAAATCGATTCATGTTCACAGATGGCATCCTGTGTAGACGCCTCTATTCTGCCTGAATATTCATCACGTTATAGTTTACTTGGTTGTGGCAAGCAGTGGAATTAAGTAAATGTAACATAGTTAACTAGAACGATACTATAATGAATATTCAAGCAATACTGAAGTAATACCGAGTTATTCCTAAAGAAACCCATCGGCCAGCAACAGTAAATTCCAAATATCAGTGGATAACAACCGATGACCGTTGTACAAAAGTTGGCTGTCGTGCCTTACTTGCCTAGTGAATGACACCTCAGCATTCAAAGAGAACGGTATTTAGTATGAGTCTCAATGGGGGCACCATCACTTACTGGGATGCAAGCACATCCAGCTAGAGTTGCAATAGGAGAAAATACTGGCAAGCCTCTTTTATTTTAATTGCTTTTGGTT